TTGAGACTCTGCCAATATCCTATTTCTCCTTAAACTTTAGCCCACTAATTTTAGCATCCATGGGAGGATTGTGCCTGCAGCATTTATACTGTAGTGTTTCCCTAACAGTGATTTTGTATTTGCCTCAGTCCTTCTACATTTATTAACTGAAATTCTTCTATAAGGAAGAGTTGTCCCTTCTTTCCTGTGTATTTATTTGTTCAATTTGTATTAGTACAGAGTCATGAGCATTTATTTTATTCTGTGGGTTATAATCCTATGCTATAATTGTTTATTTTGTTGCCCAAATTGATCCAGCTTTGGCCATTGGGAGCTTCTCTAAGGTTGGCTCCTGTGTCCTCTTGAAACGTCCTCAATTCTTTTGCAGGCATTTCCGTATTTTCCAGTATTACAAAATGGTCCATGTTCATTTTGTACGTTCCTTGTCTCAGTCCTGGTATCAACCTTTTCTCCAGGAAGCCCTGGTTCCTTTTATCAGAGAATGGTATTTAGAAACCAAATCTAGGTGCTACATGTGCTTATTATTTCTATGGTGTTACTGCTCCTAGGCCTTCTTAGCAGGCTGAAGTAGGACATATATGTATGTGTACTACCCCCCCCACCCCCAGTATCTGTATTTCTTTCTGTATCTGTCTGTATATGTATTAAAAACTATGTCATCATACATATAACTCTGATTCTAATCCAATACCACAAGGTTCACTCTAGCCTTCCTCCTTTCCTTTGTAACTTTTTGTAACAGTAAGAAATCTGGTTCTGATATTTGATCTAAAGAAAGATGGGGAAAGGAAAAGAAAGAAAAAAAAAAAGAAATCTGGTTCTGATGATCTAAAATGTATTCAGTTATTTATTCAATCCTACTATAATGAAAGAATTGCTAACACATACACCAGTGAGAAACAAATTTACTNATTCAATCCTACTATAATGAAAGAATTGCTAACACATACACCAGTGAGAAACAAATTTACTAACTACAGTACAGTATCTGTGCACAGTTCCTTTTGTCTTTGACCTTACAGTATCCAGTTAAATACTGTTCTCCAAAGCTACGTGGCTTAGTTCTTTCCTCTTCTTCCTCCATTCTCCTCAGTGTGGTTAATTTGTAATGCAGTTCATTTCATTTGTTAGTTTATATTCTGTTTTGGGTTTCATTCTCACATGTCCAGGTTGATTTTAATTATTTATTGGAAGGAAAATATATAAAACACTACTATGGTTCTAAGAGTCAAAGCTAATCAGAATTGACATTTTAACAATATCGAGCCTTCCCACCCATAAAAAAGACATCTTTTTCCATTTATATAAATCTTTAATTTCTTTCAGCAGTTTTGCAGTTTTCAGTATGCAAGGCTTGCACATCTTTTGTCAGATTTATCTCTAAGTATTTCATATTTTGCAGTGGTATTATAAATAGCATTTTTAAAAAATTTCAATTTCCAATTGCTTGTTGCTAGTATACAGAAAGATGATTGATTTTTGTATACTGGCCATGTATCCTATACCCTTGCTAAACTTACTAAATACAGCTTTAGCAGCATCCTGCAAATGTTGATAAGTTGTGTTTTCATTTTCATTCAATTGAAAATACTTCCTAATTTTCCTTTTGATTTCTTTTCTGACCCATGGGTTATTTAGAAGAGAGTTAGTTACCTAATACCTGGGAATTTTTCATAGATCTGTTGTAATTTCTAATTTAATTCTATTATGGTCAGAGAACATACTTTATATGACTTGAATATCTCTAAATCTATTGAGATTTGTTTTATAGCTCAGAATATGGTCTATCTTGATAAATATTCTGTGTACATGTAAAAGGAAAGTGCATTGTGTTGTTGGGTCAAGTGTAATATAA